TTTTTTTTGTATCAGCTGAAAAGATAGCAATCAATTTAATAAATTACTTACCAGAAACCAAAGTATTACGCCAGAAATTGAAGCAAGTAGGACGCACAAAGCCGGTATCTGCCATGATTGCGTTAAGGCAGTAAAAACAGCACCCTTTGTATTATCCTTATCGTAGACAAAAATTACCGGTCCTGGGGAGTCGTAAAGTCCAACGAATGGCCTCTGGAATTTTTCTTTCTGGTATTTGTTTGCAAATACAGGGAAATAGAAAGATAAACCAGCGCTTCGGTCCTTCCTGATGAACAACTCTATCTCTTTAGACGAATCCACTTTCATTTGGGAATAGTTTAGCTTTAGCGAGGAACAGCAAATCTGAAGAGCTTGTGTAATGTAATCTTTCAGAGTCCCTTTGACTTGCTTCGTTCTATTGTCGAAGTTAATTTGGTTTTCATATGGTAACCAGTAAAAAAGAGCTGTTTTTGATTCAGGACAGTTGAGTTCCGTGAGGTGTTTTGTGCTTTTGTCGCCGGCATAAGAAATCATAGGTAAAAGAGAAAGAGTTGGTAAAATAATTAGAATGATTGCCTTCATTGTGAAATGCTTTGCATCAGCTCAGCGTAGTAGCGTAAACCAATATACCAGTCCTTTTGGCCACTTGCTCTTGTCCTGAAGAAGGCTTTATCCTTCAAAGCAGCCTAGAATACTGAAGTCCAACTCACGGCAAGCAAACACAATCCACGCCTAAAGTGAGATAAATATAAACGTGAGATTCATAGTCATAAAATGAAATCTCGCCATGAATCATTAATCAAATGCTTTTTTGTAGTTTTTAAGTCATTTCAATGAAAAAACCCGGTTTAATGCTCCGAAGTCTTATTATGCACTGAAAGACCTGATCCCTGAGTGGCCGAGTCTCCATTATCCTTATCTTTCCATACGACTCGGCAAACACAGAATCTCAGTCGCTTCTAACTTCAGTGCAAATACCAATCAAGGAAGCTCTTCCAGATGTTCATTTGTGTCAAGATTTCTAGAAAAAACCGAATGGAAAATCATGCAGAGGTAAAATAATTTCTTTATTTACTTAGTACCTTATTATTTCAAACAAATATATATCGTCTTATTAAATAATAATTTTTTAGGTAATCTTCTTTGGATTTTATCGCAGGACGCTTCACGATACGAAATTTTTTTTGAGTTTCAAATGTCAAATAAATGTGATAGCATTGAGGAATTTCCGTGTGAAAAATATTGGGCGGATATTGAAGATTGCTTGATTTTGATTTCAATCCCTTCAATGTGTTAGAATAACAATCTGCATGAATTCATTATGTTCCAAGCACATAAATATTGATGACTTGATGGATAAATACCTTCCAAATTCAAATGAGTTTAAGGTTTCTCGATTTTCGGAAACTAAATCATGCACCTGCGTTAGTTTTCTGCCCCTCACATGACGCTATACACAACATATATATATATATTATATATACATATTTATTCATATATAAACAAGTATATATACCTTTGAAACCTTTAAGGCGATTAAATTTGAAATTCTAATATGAAATATTAATAATGATGAAAATATTTTTACTTTGTTTAAGTCATGATATTAAGCATAAAAGGACATTTATTTCCCTCAGAAATAAGAAATGACTTCCGGTCACGTGSTAATTTTTCTTGACAATGGTGACGTCATACACAGCACGGCCTCTTTCCACCGCCATTCCTGACAAGTGAAGGATTAATAATTCAATCTATCTTAATCAGGTCCATCCCGATTGAATCTGCAAGTCACAGTTAAGTATTTTCTTGCTAAAAATTTGTAGTTTAGTTTGGAGCAAATATTGTGGCGAATTTCGTTTTTTCTCTGGGTAAAAAATCCAAACTTTGGGATGGCTTCGAATCTCCAACTCCTGCTATCAGCAAAACACAGCTGTGATGGAGGTACACTTGCAAGTTAATTCTATTTTCTTTCTAGCTATATCTACATCTCATTAATTTAGAGTTTTCTTCGTTAGCTAGGTAGAGTAGCCAGGGAAATGAAATATTTAGACTATTTAAATAACAATCGGAATTGAGAATGATAACTTGTATTAATCTTTCTAGAAGAAAGCTGGGGTAGCGCGGAGAACTTCAGCTTCTCATTCTACCCGCGCATAAATAAATAACAAATAATTCAGGTATTGGCAAGCTAAATGCATGAAAACTGACCCATGATTTTACAAATGCACTGATTCACACACGGGTCTTGTATTTTTTTTACCAAAAAGCGAGGAGAGTAGCAACATCRTTTTTAGTCGCTTTTTTCGTATTTTCCGAGTCCTTTTTCTCAATAAAAGTCTGTAATTTCTCTGTAGAAACACTGGAAAATATCTATTGATTCGCTTCGAGCTCCATATTTTTGTACTGAAGATTCAAGCAAAATATCTGCTCCCGCTTTGTTGTTTGTGATTGGTGCACAATATCACGCCACCAGCGTTTTTCACGTTCTGATCACGTGCACTTGTTTAATTTAATTTCCCGATCGGGAAATAAGTTAATTATTTCCCGGTCGGGATACATTTAGTTTTAGCTAGTGTCACCTGGTCATCTTTCAACCAATGAGAGTGTTCGTTATATCGGAAAATTTCGTAGCTTTATAACAATAAGCAATTACTGGACAAGGTTGAGTAAAAACTTGTGATTTGTTAGTAGCGACCAATGATTTGCCGATGCCGGAAAACAGAAGCAAATGATTGCTTGCGAGACACTAACAAATCACATCGTTTTGTGTTATCCAAGTTAAATAATTTTTTTATCATTCAAATTCGTTCTTTTTTTTTTCTTTTTCGTTTTCTCTTTGGGTTTTGGTTATTTTTGATGTCAATCAAACATACCAAGCCACAGGGAAGCAAACTATGTTGACAAATGCATCGTTACTGCGCATGAGTAGAATATTATTTCCAAGTAGCCATTTGCAATTGTCTTGGCCAATCAAAACGACGGAAAAAATAATTTACATGCTAAAAGCAATTTATTGAACTTTGCCGTATCCTACCTTGAAAAAACAATGCGATTTTTGGGGATTGCAAAGTAAAGTCTATTTATATACCTTTAAGGAATAAATAATGTTTGTTATATTATTTCAAAGATATTCACACAAAAATCGACTCTTTCTGTCTCATTAAATATTATACATCCGGCTTATCGAAAAAAATATATAGGAAAGAAAGAATTAAGCAGAAGATGAGACAATAAATGGAAAAAGAAAAGAAAAACACCAAAACCATCAAAACAGAAAAGATAACTAAAGACCTTAGTTCAAATTTTCACTAAAAATCTCTGGGCTGATCAAAAACAGCGGGTTACGTTCGGCTTCGGCTTATATTCATAAAATTCCATCTAAATTTATTAGACGTTAGTAAAATATACCTATAGTCAAGGTCGGTAATTCATCCTGAAATGAAATCARCCGCCGTTAATGAAAGCCCACTTTGTATACTGTATACTCACGCTTGCAAATATACTTCAAAACTAAGCTACATTGATTTTTGGGAAAGCCCATTTATTTTCTTACCTTCAAGTTCTTGTTCCTTTCTATTTTTGAGTAACAACTTCCTCTTATTTTCTAATCTTATTTAATATATATTTTAAATTAAAGTTTACCCTTGATTCTAGATCCCGTTCGAAGATAAAACTCTAAATCTTGATCTCCTTCAGGTAAAACAAATCATGCCACATAACAAAATCACTAACACATATAATAGAAGCGAATTATGAGCACAAAGCAATCTGTAGTAACCTTGTGCGGCTGTTTGGATTTAAAGAATGGAAAACCTTGTAAAAATAACTAGAATCGGATCGGAGTCAAAACAATGAAAAAAAAACTTCTAGAAAGGTCTTGTCAATAGAAAAAATATGTGTTCTGTTTCATTGTCAAGGTAAAAATAATTATATCACCAGGGGTCTTTTATATGTAATAGTAGTTAAACTTTATTGTTTTCGTATTATATTTAGTGCATTTGGGGAGATCTAAATTTCGTTCGACATAAAAAAATAATGGTAATAATAAATCATTGTAGGTATATTGACTTGACGAAATAATTGACACCATAAAAGGAAGCAGTCTTTCTTTTATATAAAACTTAATTATATTTTTTGTTAATCAAACAACCGGACTACAATGTTGTTTGGTTTTTAAGGTTTCTTGTATTTCTTCATGATATATTTGGGGGGAAAAACTTAATGGGCTGCATTTTAAGCCTAGATTTAATGAACTCATTTCTATAGTTACTGACCTCGGTAGGGATCTATTCTTGGGCCGTTGTTGATAATATTATGAAAGAGCGCGTCTTTGAAAGGAAAACTATGATGCGCATTATTCTTAACACTATTTCGACTTTGAATATATAAAAACATCATCTTCATCACTATCATCATCATCATCGCCATCATTATCATGAGATCACCAKGGCCGTAACCAGAACTTTTACAGGTAGGGTGCACATCGAATAAAATCGACGGACCATTATCGTTTCTTTTATGAAAGCAGAACCAAAGAAAAAAGGTAACCGAAAGCAAAAGAAAGCAAAACCAAAAAAAACGTGGGGGTGCACGTGCACCCTGTGCTCCCTCCTAGTTACGGCCTGATCACATTTAATCGTTATCATTATGATCATCAGCAATTTATTTTAATTTTTTCAAATCGAAATACTTTTTTTTTCAGCGGCAAAATGATGATTGACGACGACGGCGATGCCTTAATGATGGTGGTGGTTGTGGTGGTATGAAGGAGATGTTGGCGATAATACGAATGGTAGTCAAAATGATATAGTCAGGTTGATGATGATGATGTTTGATGAGATGATGATGATGATAGCTATTTTAATATTATTAAATAGGACGTTTGCATGATATCGTCAATTGACTCCCACTACCAAGATGCTTCGCGAATTTTCTTTCTTATTTAAATTTGTATTCCCTCATGGGAATAGTGAGACAATTGGTGCTAATTAACTGAACAAAAGAAAGTGTGCAAGGGAGTCTGGTAGTAGAGGTCAATGACGTCATCGTGCAAACGTCCTATTGGTAACTGGTTATCTCTGTGTTTTTTTGTTTTTTTTTAATGTTCTTTCRATTATATTCAATTATATTATTTAGGAAGTAAAATATAAGAGAACCCTTAATAAGACACTTGCGCACTTGTTCAGTCAATCACCACCAATTGTTTTACTATTCTGGTGCATAAGGCAGTACGGATTTTGAGTAAGAAAGGAAATTGTCTCCCGGTTCAACAGCCTATCCCAATTTGGAGGCATAACACTAATGTACTAACAAATCACTCACGATTGTAAGCTGCACGGCTGCTACTAGCGCCTTAATATGCAGCCCTCCACTGCAATTTAAAGCGCATTGAGACATGAATGTGAATGTGAAAATGCGCTATATAAGAACACCATTATTTATTTATTTACTGAAACAAAGTCTTGTATATTATTTGCCCCCTCAACGACCCATAGTGCTTTGTGATTCAAAATGGCCGCATCGTCGAATTAGTCCATTGAAGTGCTAATTAAAGTCTGATAAAATTATGGTTCGTCAAGACAATTAATTGAAAGAGTCTCACTTTTTTGGTGAATAATTGATTAACCTTGGATATGAAATTTGTACCAGACCCATTAATTCTCCCAAGAGCAAAAACTCATTATCGAGCTCATTAGTACGCGTTTTATCAAAAGTAATAAGTTATGTAATATATATATTCACAGCTGAATAACGTAGTTTACTTTTAGATTGGAATATAAAGCATTACCAACTAGTTAGAAATGTGAATTTTCGAAAACAGAAAACACAAAAGCACGAAAAAGTTTTAGTCTTAGATCGCTCATTTCAGACGTTTTTTGAAATAGGTGTGTACTAGTTACACTCACAATGTTCCTTATTCCTTTAATAAAAATAAAACAACGAACGAACCAACAAGATAGAAACTTTATTCAAGGTGTAAAAAAATAATAAAAGAATAAAAAAGAATAAAAAAGAAAGAAAAAAACAAGGAAAAAAAAAAAAAAATCCATATTTTCTACAGTATTTATTAGCAACTGTTATACCGACACTGCTTAAATTTTATAAATAAATCATAAACTAAAAACACACCTAAAACCAAGTTATGTACATGTATTCGTAATTGTATATTCCTGGAAAAGAAACTGTTATGTTACCTTTTTCTTTTCCACGAATTTTGCCTATTTTTATCAGCCGAATATGAATAAATATATAATAAATAAACAAATGTCATCGTTACAAATGGAAAGTTACCTTGATGTATATCGAATAACTTCTGTTTCCAGCTAACGTCGTAACATATATCATCGTCTTTAATAAATTAATAACAAGTTCAGCTGACATTTTAACGGATAAAACGATGATGATTAGCTGATCGCTAATTAGGTGTTTTGAATACATTTGTATTCTGTCGATGAACAGCCTTCACTTCGTTCGAAACGACACTTCTTTAAGTTAACAATTATATCGAGACCTTTCGCTGTCTTTCACATCAATATTTACTTTCAATAAATTTTTCCTTATTATTTCAGAAATTTGGCACTTTACAAGTTGATAATATTTTGAGAGTAACTCTTCACTTAAGGGAGAAGAGAGACAAATATTTAATGAGAGCTTAATAATTAGTGAGGTACTCCAATCGAACTGTAATTAGGAAATCCCCTATAACTAATTAGTCGGTTCAGTTAAGCTTTTTTTAAACGATTTTTTAGCAGATAGATATTGGTGAGCATGATTTTAGACTTTTTACATGTGTAAAACGTTCGTCGGAACAAACAGAAATAA